ATTAATATCTGAATCACCTGAATTTAATTGATCATCAAAAGGCAAAAGATTTCGAAGAGGAGTCGCTACGGCCCTGTTTAACGGCTCCTGTTTCTGTTTTCCTGACAAGTTGGACAATTAGGTCGCGTTATTTCTCTTTTACCGCAACCAAAGCAAAATATAGTACGAGGTTCTTTACAATCAAAATTTCGATGTCCCTCTTTTTGGCAGTTCCAACAAACAACATTGGATGTTCGTGAATTTTCAGAAGAAATATTAGAATCGTTCTTTTTATTTGACGATGAATTATTGTCATTTTTAGAAGCAGAGTTTTTACTTTTATTTTTATTTTGATCGGTATTTTTAGCGCTATTCTTATTTTTCGAGGAACGTTTTTCGTCGGTAAGGAGAGAAAGTTCTACATCTTCTTCACCGGAAGACTCTGAGACTAAATTAAATTTTTCTTTTCTGTGAGCTGTGCGACCGCGAGTTTCACGATACGCAAAGTCGGGTAGCAGAGAGCGTTCAGGAGTGGGGGGTGGTCTATAGGATTTAGCGACGCGATAAGTGCCTGTGAGATATTTTTAATTTCGCAATGGCAAAATGAAATTTATTTTATTTCAAGTCAACAATCTAAGACCATTTTCTGCAAAATCAAAATATTATCGCTATCTTTCTGCCATAAAGATTTAAGCGATCACCTTCGGAACAAAATTCAAGCTCAATTAAAAAAAAAGAAACTAAATTACAAAATGTTAAGCGCCAGGTTCAAAAGTGAACCACGTCAGCAAAAATTATACAAAAGGGATTTTTTACAAAACTGAAACGGAATATTATTTTAAAGGAACGAGACCACCAGGTTAATCCAATAACAATAATAATCAAAATTAATTAAATTAATTAAATTAGTTTTTCTTTTATTGAAAATTATTATAGTTTCTTTTTTTGTGTGATCGACGATATTCATCGCTCTTTCTCTTTTTGGAGGATCTTCGCTGTAAGTGCGTAATGTAAGTGTAATAACTGCTCTTTTATCTTCTTTTTATTTGTGAAATGTAAAATTTTCCTTTTAATGTAACAAGTGGTTCAGCCGGCCTCATGGTTAAGTAAGAGTGTGTTAATAGCGTCTTAATTTCTTTTACTCTTACTCAACCATGCAGCCAGAGTCTCTCATTTTACTATTTGTCCCTTTTATTTCATTTTAATTATTTAATTTGTTGTTATTTATCTTTTATTAGTGTAATTTTGTGAAAATTGTAAATGAAGTCGTACCGTTTACAATTTCTTCCCCTTTTTCTTTCTTAATTTGCTAAGAAAATCCCTTTTTGAACAAATGGAGTTGTTCCATTTATATTTAATTGTCCCTCTTTTGATTGAGGAAGAAAACCCTATTATTTATAAAATGAGATTTGACCAATTTTTATTTAATTTGCCCTATTATCTTCTTTGTATTACGATTTTGCGTTACGAATTTTGGCTGACCACATTAATTTAATTATGATAATTAATGAAAAATTGTTTATCTATGTGAGCACTTTGTTTAATTGTAAAATTTGTCCAAATAATTGAATATTATAATAAATCTTTATTTAATGTGATATTTTGAATATGATTTTCTCGAATCCTCCCTCCTCCTTCTTTGCTAGTCGACCGGCATCGAAATTAATATTTATCTTGGAGAGTTTCAATTTAAGAATTTTAATAAGTTAATTTTTTTTGTTGCTATATCTTTTATAGAATTTAGTTCTATTATTATATTTTTTTTGGGTATTTAGTACCTTTTATTTTGTTTATCCTGGATATTTAGTATCCGTAATTTTAAAACTGTCCCAAGATATATCTACTTATATGCTTATAACTTATATGCGTATTTCTAAAAATTATTATTGGCCTGATTCCTTTCGTCAAGTAGCTGCATATGTTAGAAATTGCGATATTTGTCAATCGTGTAAAGTGGATCAAGCATCACCTCCTGGATTCATGGGTCGACGCGTAGCCGAAGAACCGTGGACTGTTGTCGCGGCAGATATTATTGGTCCATTGCCTCGCAGTAAATCTCAATTCCAATATATCTTAGTCATTCAGGATTTATTTACTAAATGGTTAGAGTGTGCTCCGTTAAGATCAGCCAACGGAAAGAAGATTAAAGATTTGTTTCGCGAACTCGTAATTAACCGATGGGGAGCACCCCAAGTAATATTAACTGATAATGGCACTGAGTTCATTAATAACGTAATTCGTTCCATGTGTAAAGAATATAATATCGTCCACTCGACTACTCCCCCTTATCACCCACAGGCTAATCCCGTTGAGAGAGTAAATAGAATATTAAAAACAATGATTATTTCTTACATCCAAGGAGATCACAGAGATTGGGATGTGAATTTGCCTGAATTCAGATTTGCGTATAATACTGCGTATCATTCAAGTTTAAAAGCAACTCCTGCTTTCCTCAATTTAGGGCGCGAGCCAAAATCAATTAATGATTTGCGTAAAAGAGTAGAAAATGTCACCGAAGTCGAGACTCAATCTCCTGCTGAATGGAACGACCGAATGAAAAACTTAACTATTGTGCGAGATTGGATAATCAAAAATTTAGATGACGCTTACGAAAAACAATCAAAGTATTATAACTTGAGACGCAGGGAATTTCGTTATAGTATAGGAAGATTAGTGCTAGTACGAAATCATCAGCTTTCCTCTAAAGAAAAAAATTTCTCTGCTAAATTGTGTCCATTATACACTGGTCCTTACCGAATTTCCAAAGTCCACTCTTCTATAGTATATGATATTAGCGATCTTGAAGGTAAAAAGATACGTAAAGTACACTGTGACGTTATTTTTACGATTTACGTCACAAAAGCACTAATCTGAGAACATTTTTTCTAGTATTTGAATTTTGGTAATATTAATTGTCTTTGTTAAAGTAAATTTGTTACAGTGTCTGTTTAAGTATTTGTTTAAGTAATTATTCTACACTTAGCAGAAGTCCAATTGAAACATTGGCGCTCCATACTAAGGAATTTTGATAAATTAGTTTAGTTTTAGTGAGTTGGCAGGCTTTGTCAAACGAAAGCGACTTCGTTTGGCAAAGAAGCTCTCCTTTTGGGTTAATTGACAGATTCCATGGTCAAGAAGGTCGCAATCTTGCCATAGGAAAAATCGTTTTAGTTTAAGTATCATAGTATTAGTAATTCAGAATTCTGGGAGAAGCAAGGTAGGAGAAAACCCCCTTTTTGTATGAAAATATCGAGAATACCGATAAGTCACCTAACGCCAAAATTCAGTACTAATTTCAAATTAAAATAATTCTGCAAAACCTTTTGAATCTCTCTCTTGTCATCGACCCCTTGTTGTGTTAACATCGTTAGTTAATTTCTCCGGTTTTTAGTAAAAATGTGGCGGATTTAGAATCAGTTCTAGTTAGTGACAGTTTAATTCTTTTATGGTTTCGAATTGTTAAATAATATGTTACAGTGAGTTTAATATTCCAATTAATTATTAGTTTAATGTTTACTTTAATAAATAATAAATTAAAAGTGTAAAATGAAATCATGATCCCTATCACGAGTCAACTTATCATCGATACAAAATCTGTAAGTTATTTATATTATTTATGGTTCTTTGTTATAACCCAGAATACTCAAGTAATTCTGCTTATGGTTTTTTATTATTTTAATTATTAATTATAAACGACAAAATGATCATCACTATTTATTGTAACTTGTCAATTGAATTTCGTTGGTACAATATACTTAATTATTTTTATCTAATCGATTGTTAATTTATTTATAATTCCGTCACTGTGTTTTAAACTACCTTCTCTTTCTTGAATACAAAACTCACCCCTCTCTCCACGACCAGCATAGCTGACTAGTACCGGCACGTGCGAAAAATCTAGTTAATATTAATGTTTGTTTAGTCGGTCTTAATTAAGTATTGAGTAATGTTTGATTTAATGATTTTTGGTTAATTATGTTTTAGTCCGGTTGACAATACCGGCGATACAAAAATTGTCTGGCGCCCTACCGGGGACCGCCTAGACAAATTATAAAGAACTAGATTGCACAAGTAACGTTTTCTTTGGTTAAATATTGAAGTTCGGTTAAAATCAGGTTTTAAGTATGTAAAATTGTCTTAGAATTCAGCTACAGTAACTTTAAAATTATAGTTTCAGAACTATTTTGGATTTGTAAATGATTGTTTATTATTAATGTTCCATATTTAATTTCCTTATAATAGTAGTGTAGAAAAAAGCGTTACAATTTGGCGCCCAACGTGGGGCGCACAAGTCAATATTTTTGAGAAGGTAGTTCAGTGAGTAATAAAGAAAAGAAAATTTTTTAGAAAAAAAAAAGAAATTTATTTTTTAGTCATGTTGTTAAAGTGTGTTACAGATAATTAAAATATGTAAAGTAACTGATTCAATTTTTTTAATGTACTATCATAAGAATCGGCCAATTTATCTATTTTCATGTATAAATCTCATATTTTTTTAATTTACAAAAAAAAAGATGAAGGGAGTATTGTAATTGACTAATATTATTTTTCATAACAGAAAACTAAAATTTGAAAAAATTCAATGTCTCTAATCTCTGTTTTCTTTTTTTGAAAGAATTTTTAATTAGGAAATTTTATTTCGAAAGGAATGATGATTATTTTGTTGTTGACAATAGATTGATGCAAAGTATTATACATGCTTTATTGTCCAATTTCATTTTGTCTCGATGATTTGTTTCGGAAAATTGTTTATTTTTAGAATTTTAATATTTTAGCCATTGTTACAGTAACCTTTACTTGGCTTATAATTATTGAAAGTCAATAATAATGAACCAAGTTTGTAAGCTTCTGTTGTTAATTATATTTTATCTCTTTTGAATCGACGAAATTAATTAACTGTTATTTACGAAGTTATTATTATCTCTTATTTGTAATTTAAATTTGTCCTCTGTAAGGGCGAATATAGAAAAAACTGAGTGATCACATGACTTGCCCTACCTCTGAAAATTGGAAATTTTGGGGGAAATTCGCAAGTGGGGACACCCCCCCTCACCCGAGGGAAGACCATGTCCCTAACAAGTGGTCGACGCCATGCTCATTAGTTTCCCGGATACTGAATATATTAGTCGAGGTTTCGCACTTTACAGTTTTCTTTGGAAAGTTCTCTTTTGCTGCAGTGGTGACAATTGGCAGTTAATTAATAAATTATTATTAATTAATATCCCCGGTTGTTATCGGAGTAGTGCTATCCTGTTTGTTTAATTTTTTGTTACAGTAAATATATTATCGGTTACAGTTTTCTTTAAATTTTTACTTTCGTATACACGAAAAGAAACCTTGGTGTGTGTGTGGTACAGGGTTATTCGCTCTTTAGCCAGCACCCAGTGGTCAATTTTGGTGAAATCTTCTATTCGGTAAGTCAATACAAAAGATCCTATTGATATTTCTCGTGTCTTAATTCAATTCAGTGTGGAAAATTTCATGTGTAAATTTCCTTTTCTCGCCATGTGCTAGCGTCCTACCGGCGTCTATTTGGTATGCGTGAGTGTTACTCATGGTGTCGGGTTAGTAGTAGTGTGTAAAGCGTGCGAGTACAGAAACGTGCTTCCCCTCTGTTCCTTTCGCGCCAGTGATATACTCGCTCTCGCTCACTCCTATAGTGCGTTCTCCGTCCTATCGAGTCTCTGCTTTGTGCGATCGTTCGTACTTTCAAGCAACCAAGATCAGTGCATATGCACTATATCTTTCTCCGTCTAACCCATTGAAGTGTATTCTCTTACTTTTATTCATACAGTACCTTGGTATAGAAAGTTACAAAAATCAAATTTCGAATATTTCGCGAGAAATAGTTACAGAAATCGAATTTATAAAGTGAAATTAATTATAAAATTTCGATTTTCGAGTATCTCAAGAAAATTAGTTACAGAAGTTGAATTTATAACGTAAAATCAATTATAAAATTTTGATTTTTTAGCATCTCGTGAAAATCAATTACACAAATTGGATTGAAAATATTTTTGTAAAGTTAGATTAAAGATAAAACTTTGAGTTCCAAGTAATTCGTGAAAAGTAATCACGAAAATTAATTTCAAAATATTTTTAGGAACAAAATTAATTACAAAATTATTCTAAAATTATTTTGAGGAACAAAAATCAGTTGCAAAATTTACATTTTTGCACATTTTTGTATAAAATAGTTACAGATATTGAAGTTTCGATATTTTCACAAAAAAAATAGTTACAGAAATTAAAATTTTGAGAACATCCTTGTGAGAAACAGTTACAGAAATTTGATTTTTTAAATAATTTTCAAAGAAAAAATAAAGTTACAGAAATTTATTAAAAGGTAAAAAGTAAAAAGAAAATGGACGACCGACAGTCTATAAAATCAGACACCTCCGAACCATCACAACTACAACCATTACTACACGACCTATATTTTGGTCACGATGATAATAATATGAGAAATGATGGTGATCAAATGCGTCAAAATCAAGTGTTACGGGAACCCAACATTTAACTTGGTCCGAATGCGGAATTTAATTTTGATAATGTCAATACCACTTGCGGTCGTTACTCTCGTTCCAACAATTTTAGGGAATCACGTAACTTTAATAGGCATCGAGTCTTTCCAAACCCCCAAGACTACCAACTTGACGATTATGGGAACACGGAAAGAAGACCAAACAATCAACAACCTACACTGAAAAAAAAGTGCTGTTGAATCAAATATCTCCATGCTATTGAATTCCCCGTCATTGATTCAATGACACATTTATTAATCGAAAAGTATATTGCTTAAAATGAAAAAATGAAACTGTTTAAATTAAAAGTACGGTACTGTAGAATTAATGATATTGTGCAAATTGTTTCTATAGTTCATCTGTACATAGCAACAGAATAATTTATTGCTTCTTTGACATTATTCATTTGAAGCATCTAATAGATAAATTTGAAGAAAATGCATGTAAATTTAAATCAAATGAAAAATTGTTTGCTCTAAAGAAGCGCGCTCTGAAAACGAAAGCATATGCTTTCGTTTCAATGAGTGGTGCTATTGCGGACTGCCTATAGCATATGCTATAAAAATAAGAACACTATGTTTTGAGACATTGACAGGTACTAAATTTATTGAAATACTTACCCACATATATTTATATGTTTATTAAACCTGTCGTTTTTGAGATTCCAATATAAAAAAGTATTATTTAAATTCTTTTAATTAATTAATGACTAGTTAAATATAAATTCCCTATATAAATTCCCTTATATACGCGAAAAATCTCGAGCACGGTATTTAACCATAAAGTAAGAGCCCAACGTTGAGAAGCGGATGTATTACATTGCAGCGCGGCGGTTCTCGTCTATCACGGAAGTTAAGCGTCGTTGGTCGCGGTTACTAAATGGATGGGTGACCGCTTGGGAATAGCCGTATTTTTCTGACTAAAAAAGATAAGTGTGTTTGAATGTGTATGTGTGTGTGTGTTTAGCCGTTGGAAAAAATGAAAATAATAATAAAGATGTATATGTTAGTGTGAAAAATTGAAAAAAAAGATGTGTATAAAAAGTGTTGTGTTAAAGGTGTGAGAATTAATTATAGTATATAAAAAACATGTGAACAAAAATTCCCTTTTTTCAATTTATCGTTGGTATATATTTAACCACATAAAAGAATTGAATTAACAGTATGGTGTTATTCAATTGATAGCAACAACTAAAAAAATTAAGAGTACAAATTTTTGAATCATAAAAATGATGCTTTTAAATTTAAAAGTTATAGTCATTGACTCAAAAGCATATACTGTTAAATTAAAAAATTTTGTTTATTGATTCAAAAGGATTCACCTTCGAATTAACATAGTATGCTGTCAATTTGAGAAATATGCTTTTGTTTCAAAGAAAGTGATACTATCGAATCATTAGAATCGGTGCTTTCAAAACAACAGCATATACGTTAGGCAGCCCGTTATGACCCACTATGGTCAGAATGGGAATGCATCCGCTATGCTCACAGAAATATGTTACCGGCATTCAAACTAGTAATCCCATTGCACAGAAACCTAACTATGGACGATTTAGAAGCGTACGCGTCACGCCAAGAAAGAACACTTCAAAGTGTAAACCAATATCGCCCCCACCACTACCAGAAAACTCTATGTGTCCAGCATATGCGTACTCAGGACCTCGTAAGGCACACTGCCAACCACCTCGACCATTACAGCACTTTTCGAAAACTGATCAATTACATGCGGCAGTTGATCATAGTGTACCGTTACAGAACAATGCCGAAGGTTACAGTGACGTATTAGACTCCTTGTTACTACAACGACACAATCAACAACAAACAAGTGATTATTCTAAGTTACCTACAACAAGATCTGGTACCAAAGCTAAATTTAGTGAATCTAAAACATCCAATTTAGTGAATCAAGCGTCACCCGCGGTAAATACTAATAGAAATGAAACAAGTGACACTGAATTTAGATGTTGGAATTGCGACAAAACTGGTCATGGTCACAGATTATGCCCAGAACCTAAACGTAGATTTTGTTACCGTTGTCGAGCCTCAGGTGTTACTAAACGAGATTGCCCCCATTGTAATAAGGGAAACTCTCAATAGTGAACACTATCCCGACAAGTGTATCGCTTTCAGAAATAACGTCGGAAAATCAGTTACAGAACATAAAAAACCCACCTTTCGAACAGTGCTTAAAGTTACAGAATAATACAGAAATAATCGATTTTGCGAATTCGGTCTCAAACAAAAGACAAGTAGCATTCTGTGTTGACTTCACCCTTGCAGGACGTGAGATTAGGGCTCTACTCGATTCTGGGGCTAGTAAATCATTCCTTGGTCAAACAGGGATTGAATTAATAAAAAATATGGGATTAACCGCGAAACCAATTCCTGCTCGTAGAGTTACAGTCGCGAATGGTAATAACCTCCGTATCGAATATGCAATCGACACCGAAATAAAATTGAAAAACCGAAATTTTCAAGTTAATCTCTTAATAATGCCAGTCCTATCACATCCGTGTATACTAGGGTTAGATTTTCTGATACAAGCCGGTTTGATAGTCGATTTTGCCGCAAAAAGTTGGTACTATAGAGACGACCCGAACTCTACATTCACATTTATTCCAGAAAATTCTACAGATCGTGTTACAGTTTGCAATGGGTTACAGATATTAAGTGACGAACAGTCCGAAATTTTAAAAAAGTTCCTCGATGAAAGGATACCGCCACAACCGGATAAACTACCAATTACACCAATGGCTGAACATGATATTGACATCGGCGACCATCCACCAATTCGACAAAAGGCTTTTGCGATGACACCAATAAAACTAGAAGCATTGTGGAAAGAAACAGATGAATGGTTAAGACAAGACATCATAGAGCCTTCACAAGCAGATTGGGCAAGCCCTCCAGTATTGACAAAAAAGGCAGATGGGAAATGGCGACCTTGTATAGACTACCGTAAAGTAAACTCCTGTACAAAAAAAAGATGCATATCCAATCCCAAATATGATCGGAATTTTAGATCAGTTAAAGCAATGTAATTTCATCACAACTTTGGACTTAACATCAGCATATCTTCATGTTCCACTAACAGAAAGAGCTAAGCCGATAACTGCATTTATTGTACCAGGCAGAGGCTTATTTCAATTCAAGAGGATGTCCTTCGGTCTGAGCAACGCACCAGCCACATTCCAGAGGCTCATGGATCGTGTTATTGGTCCAGCATTGTTCCCTCACGTGTTTTGTTATTTGGATGACATCGTAGTCGTAACGGAGACTTTCGAGGAGCATTTGCATTGGCTTGACAAGGTCCTTGCAAACATCAAAAAGGCCAACATGGTAATCAACAGAAACAAGAGTCATTTCTGCTGTGCTGAACTACGATATCTTGGATTCCGAGTCAATTACGAAGGATTACAAACAGACCCTGAGAAAACTTCGGCGGTCCTGGAATACCCACAACCACGAACAGTGAAACAACTACACCGTTTCCTTGGAATGGCATCTTGGTACAGAAGGTTCATTCCTGAATATGCAACAAAAGCTGCTCCACTCTACAAACTAGTGAGGAAAAATCAACCCTGGGAATGGAAGGAAGAACAAGAGAGTGCTTTTAACACATTAAAATTACTATTAACAAGCACTCCAACATTGGCGAGTGCCAAACTTCAAACTACCATTCACCTTACAAACCGACGCAAGTTCAGTCGGATTAGGAGCAGTGTTGACCCAAAATATTGAAGGACAAGAACGAGTGATTGCTTACGCTAGTCGTGCCCTTTCAAATGCTGAGAAGAACTACACAGTCACAGAACTGGAATGTTTAGCCGTAGTTTGGTCCGTCAAAAAGTTCCGTTGTTACTTAGAAGGCTATTCATTCACAGTAATAAC